ACGATAGCGTACAGCTCTCGGCGCTGCTCCGTCCAGGCTGAGCACTCCTCCAGTGCGTGTTGGGCCGTCTCCTCGGCTGCGTGGCCCTACCACCGTGAAAGCCTAGTCAAAGTTTCCTAGTCAGATAGGTACGTCAAAATGAATGTATTAGCAGTGGACCGTCGTAAATGCGTTTATATTAATAAATAAATCCGTATTTGTGTCACGTCAATAATAATAATTGAATATGACGTTCAGAGCAGTAAAATCTTTAAAATCTGAAAAAAAAAAAGAGTAGGGAAAGAAGATGACAGTATATCACTAATGATTGTGATTTCATTTAAGGCGCTGTATGCAGTAAAATAGGTTTTTCAAAATATTTTTAGCAAAATCTACACATTTTATAGCAGCAAAAAAATATATGTTAATCTTGATCGTACATTCTAAGGGAACATTGTATCCAAAACATATTCTCGATATATTTTGTCGATAGAAAAAAATCATGAAACTACCTCTAAAAGAGAAATTCAAAACCAAAAATGAACGTAATACATGAACAAATCTTAATGAAATTAATATCAGTGGTGTAAAATATATTAATAAAAAGGATTGTTGTGTTAATTTGTTGATTGATGTAAGATATTTCTAAATATTAATTTAATTCATTAAAATTAATTCGAACGCGATGTGCAAAACACCGCGCCACCGCGGCATTGTTTCGGCTCTCTTCCAACTCCACACGTTGAACAGAGAGCGCTGAGGCGCCTTGCTAGTTGGACCTATGCCGCTCGTTTTCCGCTCACTGTTACGAAATATGTTCCGTATTTATTTATTGACGGTTATAATTTTATTAGATCTTTCGAAAACACGAAACTAAAAAATGTATATTCACATATTTCGTATTTTTAATTATTTGTATGAATTAACAACTAAAGCGTAATTTTTTCAATATCTTATCTTGTCATTGATAAGTTTATCAGTCCTATACAAACAGTGTAAAGGCAGGGATGCCAACTTAGGAATTTTCTTCCGAAATTTAGGAATAAAAAATGGGAGGTAAATTTTTATGGGAATATTTTTTTAGGAGTTAAATTTTATTCACATTTTCAAAAAAACTACACAAAAAAAATTCAGTGCCGTTCTGCTTTGGATGACGTCAGGCCAAGGCCTATGTGTCTGGTATGAATATTTTATGTATTCTAATAATTTTTTTAATATTGTTTTGATTTTATTCTTAACATATTCATTTCAAATGAATTATGTTATATTTGATGTTCTTAACCATGGTTTATTTTATCAGATAATTATTTTGCCTTTTCCTATAATATAAAAAAAATACTGATTTTAAATTTAGAAATTTAAGTTTGAATTTAATAAATTTTAGTCGGTTTTCGAATTGTTTTAGAAGTATTATTTTTGAACAGTTGGTAACACTGTGTAAAAGACCATCTATACGGATTGGGTTCAAATCCCTACATTTTTCTTTGTTATATTTTTTGGTGATTTTCTTTTTGTAGGTATTTTTTTTTAATTTACCATTTAATTTTTTTTGATGTTTATTTTTATAAATAATTACAACGAAATATTATTGTATATGTTGAACGTATAACGCAACAGTAGGAGAACAATCTATCAGATTATAAACCACGTTTTCATTATTTAAAATTTTTAAAAGTCTTATATTGTATATTGTTTTTAATTTGTTTTATTAAAATATTTAATTTTTCACCCTAAAACGAAAACTATTCTTTTACGAACACGAAAAATATTTTTTATTATAATTTATTATAATTTTTGTATTTTCCACATTTTATCAAATTACAACAAAATAATTAATTGATTAACAAATTAAAATTGGAAAAAGATGTATCAACCATGACGCTCGGACCAATAGGCTACACGATGTCTGCGGAAGGGAACAATATTTCGATTCTAGTTATAATTGTTGTCGTTTATCGATATAACGAATTTTATCGATAATTTTTTAAATATAATTTGATTGAAGAATTAATATAACGTAGTAAGTCTTTCACATGTAAAGGATAAATTAAAGATATAAAGTTTAAGAAAATATGTAATAAAAAAGTCGTATTCGTAATTTCTGCCGTGGAGACTATGAAATTGCGTAATTAAAGTTTAAATGAAAATAAATAATTATTCGTTTATTTATTGTTTTGTTGTAAGAAATGTCAGTTGCCTTTATTAATTTATTTGACCTTAAGATGTATTTTTAAACAATTCTAATCCGTTTCCTGATAATTTAAAATAATTAATAGGAAGTTTTTCTAAAATTATTGATTGCTTTCTCATACTTTATATTTGTTTGTTTATTATTATTCCTAATAATATAAAAGTAAAGTACAATCATGGTCTATAAAATATATTATAGAGATCATCTGTGTACATTTTCGAAAGCCTTCCATGATACTATCGATAGTGTCCTACGGCCCATCACTACACACGAGGTCTAGCGGCGCGTCGACGAAAATCGCGCGCTGAGCGCCGCTAAGCGGCGTTACCCCTCCTCCGCTTCCTCATACTTCACCACCCAAATAGTTAAAAATTCACTGCATACAGCGCCTTAAATTGTTTTCGACTAAAATGTTTTCGAATCAAAACATTACGTAAAAAAACGCATTTTATTATAGATTGCTGCGTGGCCCTACCACCGTAAAAATATAGAAAATATTTTGATGCCTTGGGTTACATTATTCCGTTTTGGATAGGGATCTCAAATTTTATCTTTATAATATTAGTGTAGATTATAAAATTAGTGGAGAAGTGTAGATAGGGAAAGATGTTTACAATCTTAGTATATTTAATATCGTCGTCTTTAAATCAACTTTATTATTCTAAGTTTTCTATCATAAAAACAAATCTACAACAGTGACAATAACATCTGAATAAATATTCGGTTGATACGAGATAAATTTAATTGTTACCGCAAACCATCTCTAAGCTCTAGCAAATATAAATGGAGAATATTGCTTTTTATTTATTTAAGCCCTCAATGACTGCATTTAAGCCTCTGGGGCGTTGCAGTCCTGACAATCCAGGCTTTGAATTGTCAGATTTAATGCCCTCGTTAAAGGTTTTATACAAAGTCTGATTTAATTAGAAGCCGTTTTATTTCGTTTAAAATTGTTTTATAATGGAAATGTAATCTGGCGTGATCAAAATTACGTATTCCATGGGTTGTTAGTGCAAACACCTGCGTTAATCAATTCCGTTACCGAGCACGGCAAAGTATCACCGCTTGCAGAGTTTGTGTTAGTTAACAATTTCCTGAGTTGAGCTCCGTGCATTGTTTAGGATACAAAGTTTTATAATATTAATACAAATTTTTTATATAGCAAACGTGTGATGAATTAACCAACTTTAAATACAAATACAGACACACGCATATCGTACGAAAATATTTGAAAAGTTTTCCAATATTATCTTTTTATTGTATTTGTGTATTAAAAGTCAATGAAATACACCAGTATGAAAATAATTTTAACTTCGCGCTAAATTTCCTATCGAATTCTTTTTATACATTTAAGTATTGAGATCATATACTGAGTATAAAATCACAAAATGCTGACAGATTCCGGTGGGGCTTCAGACGCCGTCTTGAAAAACCGGGCAAGTGCGAGTCGGACTCGCGCACGTAGGGTTCCGTACCATTATATATAAAAACGGCAAAAATATCATGTCTCTTGTATGTGAGCCCCACTTAATTTTTTTGTTTTTTAGTATTTTTTGATAGCGGCCACAGAAATACATCACCTGTGAAAATTTCAACTGCCCCACTACTACGTTTCATGAGATACAGCCTGGTGACAGACGGACAGACAGAAACAGCGGAGTCTTAGTAATAAGGCCCCGTTTTACCCTTTGGGTACGGAACCCTAAAAACGTTTTTGAGTGATGTCTCTGAAAGTATACACTCTAGGCCAAAAGTCATAGAAACCATTATTGTAGAGAATAAAATTTAGCTTTTCTTTTATGGGAAACAAAAGATGCCAAATTTTATTTTATAAAATAATGGTTCCTGTGACTTTTGCCCTGAAGTTATGTGTCAGCATTTTGTGATTTTATACTCCACAAGTAATCCTAAGCCTCATTAAATAAGAAATGGGATTGGTAGTTTCGTGCCAATTTGACCAAAAAATAACCTATTTTTACTGCCCTAAAACAACATTAATACTGTAATGTTCGGATAAATTATAACAAAAATGTTTCGACGCTTTATTTAGAGCGGATTTAAGGGCAGTTTGCATCGGGGAAATACTTTTCTTAAGAAAGTCTTGACCTCCATATTTGGTTCAGGTTCGTTTACTTTCATATTCGGTCAATTCTCATTGAAACTCGCTACGGCGTGTAGGTTCTATTTCTTGTCTGCGTTCCTTTTCCACGTAATACTAACGTAGGTATCGTGTTACAATCGTCGTGGAAAATTGTTACGTCTTCGAGCTATTCACATTTATGCTTGTTGAAATACTCAATAATTAATTGCCACCGGACGGACCAACGCGTTAGTGGTCCTAATAATACTCTTCTACTTTTCTTCTGGATAAAACTTTTGGTTAATTAAAAACTATAAAGTACAAGGCAAGTATTTTTTTTATGTGAAAAGTTGGCAAGCTAGTGACCCGAGAGACCTGATGTTAAGTGAATACCGCCGCCCATGGACATCTGCTACACCCGACGCGGCGGATAGTCCTCCACGCGGCCCCATTGCGGATTGGCGGACTTCACATATCTTCGAAATATATATATATATTTTGTTATTATTTCGAAAATATGCAGGTTTACTCACGACGTTTTCCTTCACCGCGGAGCACGTGATAAAACAGCACTTAAAGTTAAAAACTTCATTGGTGCCGGCACCGGGGATCGAACTCAGGTTGCTCGAGTATATTGAATTAAAGGCGAGCGCCCGGACACTGAGCTATCACGGCTCTGACTCTGTTTACGTTTCCATGTTTCTACGTGCTCGATTCGTTTTTTAATTTCATAATCTTTACCCCGACCAGCATGGATGACATCGAGCTCAAGAACATCCAGCTGCAGTTCCCGAGTTCGCGCCGTTTCAGCGGCGACGGCGGCTGCGTGGAAGTGAGGGTGCGCACCGACCGCGGCGACATTTTGGTCGCGGTGCAAGGTGACCGCTCCAAGCCCGCCATCTTCACCTATCACGACATCGGCCTTAACTGTGAGTCGCCCTTTAAAAGTTTCACCGTTTTTCGTTTTCAACCGTGCCACCGCTGTGTTTCTTTCGCCGGTTCTTCTCAGTACAGTGGCTTTCTTTTCCGAACCGGTGGTTGGTAGTATTTTGACTATCAATAAGCGAGTGTAATACTTCTATGTTGAATATATCTAACGGTGGTAGGGCCACGCAGCAGCCTCAGCTGTTGCACGAATGGGCAGGCCCGTCCGGGTAAGTACCACGACCTCACAGAAGACCAGCGTAAAGTGGAAGTATGACAAATACTTTCGCGTTTCGTCTGATGAGTGAGGTTGCCGGAGCCCAATTTTCAAAAGGTTTTCAACGCATCTGTAACCCATGGGTGTAGCCGATATCCATGGGCGGCGGTATTCACTTAACATCAGGTGACCCGTCTGCTCGTTTGGCAACTTTTCGCATAAAAAAAAATAAAGACATTTGATTTTGATTTTTGATTTTGACAGCGGCTCATGTTCCGATTCGTTATTCATCGTTCCGTTTCTGAGATATGAGGCACTCTTTTATGGTGAGCTTTAGGTGTATCTGTAGGAGAGGGGGTGAGGGGGGAGCAAATGTGTTCCTTATATTTTTTATCGCTTTAATGGGATCTGAACCATATTGAGTATTGAGCTACAGCAAAAACTTAAATATTGCATGAAGCACGCAAAGACGATATCACCATCATTACGAGTATTTCAGCCTGTTCTAATCAAATGCTTAACATAAGCCTCTGTCATAGACAACGATGACCTTTAACCTATATCAACTCTCACAGCATTTATCCCAACAAAAAGTATGGCAGTAATTGTATATCTTAACACACATGTACCTTACATATTTTACATGTATATTTAATGTATTATATTAAAGGATTTGAGAAGTGTATTAAAGAGCTTAGCAAAGTCTTATAAGCGGCTCAAGCTTTCTACAAGTACTTTCATATAAAAGTCTCGGTAAAGAAATAAGTTTCCGAGCAATTTTGAACCCGGTTTATACCTTCTGTGTGTAAGTTTTACTAAAAACTACGAAGTGAATAGTGAAATTAAAATTTATATACATATTTCATATAAATATGTATATAAATTTTAATTTCAATAATATAAAAATTTATACATGTATATATATGCACCCGTGCGAAGCCGGGGAGGGTCGCCACTAGAACTTAATAAAAATTTTTGCCCATAAGGAAAAAAGACTAATATTTTCAACAAGATTCATTAAATTTAAAATAGCAATGGTCGCCATAACCCGTTCGAATTATCGAAATGTGTGTTAATCTGTCTACAAATACAAGACGTGGGTACGATATCCGATTATCGATTCCTGCAACGGCGAAAAACTTTTCGCCCCTTTTTCTACCATTTTTAATATATATTGCAATATCGCGTTTTTAATGTATGTTATACCATAATTAAAAAATATAGGTACATAAAACTATCATTTCTTAAACTACTTCAAAAAAGAAGGAGGTTTCTCAATTCGACCGTATATATTTTTATATACGGTCGAATTGTTACATAATTTTTTATGTGTGTTCGCGGATAACTTCGTCTTTTATTAACAGATTTTGATGATTCGTTTGGGTTGGTACCATGATAAGGAAACCTGGATCTGATGATGACATCCCAGAGAAATCGAGGGCAATCCTCAAATGTTATAGTTATTAACATTGTTTTTTAGTTTTCGGTTTGAAGTCGGTTTTTTTGGTTAAAAATTATAATTATTAATGTTTAACAAAAATATTTTGATGCTATTCTAATAGCGCGTTATGCTAATATTTAAAATTCCCCGCAAGCTAGTCTAAAATACCAACATCTCCTCACACATGCCGTGGGTTACATACAGATGCATCGGTAAAATTCTTCCCGAGTTTCTCCAGGAATACTTCGCTGCATTTTGAATGGCGTTGTTGCTTAAGAATTTTATCGAGCTTACGCTCTGACGTTAGGTTTTAGTACGGGAAATTTATCGTGCTTCTGGAACCATGGCTGTGATATGGACTAATAACTTAAATTTTATTACGATCTTGTGATATCTTGGCTTAACACATAATTTTTTAAATTTCTGTGAAACGTTGGCACTCAAGTCTTGAATTTTTGGATCCAAATGGATTTATTTTATGCCCTGGACAGGATTCGGAATTATTCTATGAAATAATTTACAAATTTTTTTAGCATGAAGAACTATGGTAAAAAAATTATCAATCATTTCATACTTCGGAATTAATTTGTTTAAAACTATATTTGAGCTTTTCTCAAATATATCTTTAGAGCATTTGGATACATCTGCCCGTGTTGGTTATATTTATAGGGAGAAAAACGTCTAATTATAATATTAATGCAAAACGTTGTGTGTGTAAATCGTTGTTATTTAAATCAATAATTTTCCGGTTAGGAAATCATCTCGTGGATTAGAAACGAAAGATTTTTAAAATATGTTAGCTTCCACTATGTGTCACTCTAGTGCCATCGTGAGGACGTCTTTAAACGTCCCGTCCAATACATCTACGTCTTATTTCTCAATCGATAAGATTTTCCAATCGTCGCTGACGACAACCGCCGGGGAAATCTTCAGATCCTATTTCATAGTCCGTATCCTCTCCTATACGAGTTTTATTTTAAAGAAAACGACAACCTCATCGAACTTGGTGCAGTATGTTAATATCTTGATTGAATTTCGAGTTTGACAGCAAAAAGAATTCGTTCCGCTGATGAATTTTTTTATTTTTTAAAATAAGATATCAAGCTTCAAAGGATTTTCGTTTGATAGATCTGAAGACTCTATTTCATGCCATTGAAACTCATCGCAGAATTTTTTTATTAAATATTTTATTATTTCTTATTTAAAAACTCAGTGCTGGCTCTTTTACTGCGACGTTGGAAACGTAGTGGCTGGGGCTTGAGATATTTATCTTAAAGAACTTGTAAATTATGACACCAATAATAGGTATTACATTTTATTAAGAAAAAAAAGTTTCTTTTTGTATTTCCTGTATAAGCCTAAATAACATTGTTAAGACGATGTGGCTTACCCCCCCAACAGATCATGCAGATTGCCTTTGATAAAGGACTGGGTACTATTGTCGTGCTCTTAGACGCACGTGAAACGTGTGTTTAACTGCGTTTCAAGTCCAATATTGTTAGAAAAGCTGTACAATTTTGTCTTTCACATCGGGATATTCAGTATTCACAGGTAACATGTATAGGTACATCATTCAAAGGTTGATGCAAGATACTACACCCAGTTATATTAGGTCTGTACCTTTGAACTTGTTGTTTTGTATGAAATAAGTTAAAGTATTTTATTTTCATACTTTTTTATTTCTGTTATTCAAAGTAATCCCATGCAATCGATGCATCTTTGCCAACGCAGTGGTAATATATTGACGCTCTTGCAAAAATCAGCAGGATGGGATGCAACAAACTCGGGAATAGAATTTTTTTCCAGCCAAAAACTTTCATTTTTTCCAAAAGTTGTCCAAATTTTGGAAAAAGTAATAGTCGGTAGGTGGATATGGCGGATGAGCTACCAACCTCAACCCTTGCAGCTTGGGGACTGTCTGTTGTGCAGCATGGGGTCACGCATTGCCGTGAAGGAGCAGCGGGGACGAACGATCGACCAAAGCTGGCTTCACATTTACGAAGTACTCCATCACTGTCTTCAGTTCTTTATAGGCTCGTTTTGCAAAAAGCTGTGATGAATCATGCCGTTACTAGACCACCAATGATTGTGACCATTACCTTTCTAGGGGTTATTTTTCGTTTAGGGCATTGCTTTGGTGCTGAACCAGGATGTAACTAACTTGCTGAGCGCTTTTTAATTGTCGAACAGAATCCATTTTTCGTCGCACGTAACAATTTGGTTCGAAATTGTACGTTGCGATGGCGATCGTTATTTTGATGACATCAAAAGCTGCTATTAGCAGCTTTAATCATGTGCACGATCCACCCCGAAGTTTTTTATATTGGTGACTAGTTTTTACTAACACAAAATTTATTCTCTATAGGAGTCTCCGTGAGTTCTGTGTCCTCATCACAAGTAGCCTTAGTCGTCTTTTCTTTCTCTTTATAACGACGTAGATGCGTTTTTCGCACAAACTATATTCTATATGGACGTTTGATACGATATTTATTATAAAAACAAGTACCAAGACTTATTTTTAATAAAACCTACGTAGACATTATATAGGGATCGCATACTTTGTGAAAAAAGAGACTTTTAATAATGACAAACTATTGAGGTTAGGTTTATTATTCATCACCGACGGCACTCGCAATACAAGAAGGCTGCAAGATTTCGGAAAAAAGATATTTCTGCTACATCGGCAGACAAAAACCAAGTGCCCAAGTGTAGAAACAAATGCTTCTAATAGCATTCCAGTTCCTTTGAAATCCCACAGATTTTGCGGCGGCGAAAACCGCATTACAACCGGTCCACTTGTTTCTGCTTTCCCCCTGAACAAATAGACAGGCTATCAGTTGAAATCACCAAAACCATTGCCATTTCGAACATATCAATATTGATTTATTAAAAATAATGGATTAGAATAAAATAAAGTTATCCTTCTGTATAACATATTTATTTTATAATTTCGTTCTAAGAGCAGACAAATATACGTTAACAAAAACATTTTCATAACATATCACCTCGGCTGACTAATATGAATATTTAAAGTTTTAATTGAAGAATTAATTTTGCCAACTAAATTTTAGTTCTAACAGCAAGTTGTATAACATTCTTATCCTTGGACCATACAATTAATTATATTCTTTATACAAAAGGTTTAATGTTAATTTCTATTTTAAATAAAATTATAATAACTATCTATACAGTGCATTTTTTGCAGCTGTTTCACATCTTGTTCTTTAAGGACAAATTTAATTAGAGACCACATTAAAAACAAAGAAGTAAAGCGCAATGATTATTAGGCATCATATTAATAAGAGTTCTAATGATTAAAGTTACCTAGCAGTACTGGAAATGTCACA